CATTATATAATAATGACCAATAATTTCTAACTGCTTTAATACATTAATATTTTATAATAATAATAATAATAATGAGATTTAAAATTTAGAACGACAAATTAAACATTACAGGACATTTCCATTCATTATATAAAAGTCCACTGCTGAAAATAGTTCTCCCATAGATTGCCTCATAGGGCGGATTTTGCTATAGTTGACACGCTTGCCAACCGTAGTTTTTTTTAATAATTTTGAGTTTTTACTAGGAAGATGATCATGCCCATATCCTGTTTCAGTTTTTTTCTTTCGCCTCTTACGACACCCACGGGACGATATGGGTAGTGGATATTCTTACACCACCACTACACGTAAAAGGACTATATGTATATCTAGTAATAACAAAATAGTATTCCTACAAATTAACCATTAATCATAACGTAATTTAATTTTTCGAACATGATATCTTAACACAAAATCTTAATCAATAGTCCAAGCGAGTTAATACGCCGAGTTTTATTTTGACATCGCTGACTAATGGGGTCGTTTATTTTTATTGCCGGTTTATTTAAACTCGCCTTGTGTTTTTGCTCGGAGGTGGGCTCAACGAAACTATTATTGCTTGCCGACACGACATCCGTCATCGCGCTAATTTCTCTGCGTTTATCTATTTTAATGTAAAGTCGTTTTGACAAGTGGCCAACGTTCGATGCCAGTTCGTTACTAACGGAGCTATGTTACAAGTAATTATAGCATCACTTCACACAACGCTTGATATATTAGAAAATATTCCACAACGTTTTCGAACGTATTGAAAAGTTTGTCAATGATTTCACTGTTCTAATTTTATACTTAATATTTTACACCAAGCTCAACTCAAGCTACGTTTTAATTGCTATAACTATCATTCTATTTGTTTTTCATTGTCGTCTCGGCGGCAAAAATGCGAATAGAATAGTTTAATCTCCAGTCATCCGGATAACGATACGTAATTGGGGCACGGCCGTATTAAGCGTCCTATGGAGGTGGCTCAGCCGCAACGTTGAGCGGCAGTCGAACGCTTTAATAACATTATTAACATTAGCTTGTTATACGTAATATTACCACGATTAGGTTAGTGTATATTGTGGAGCGGCTTTACTGACTAGTGTCGTTACACTGGACGTAACGTAATAGCGTGTTGTTTTTTAAATTCAAATATAAATTCAGAATTAGTTAACAAAGTTTGCCGTGTTTACAGCTTGAGAGAATTCGTCATTTTGTCTGAGCATAATTCTTTTGACTGCGGCTCGCAAAGGAAGCGCTTAGTCTTATAAATAACAGATGCGGTAAAAAAAATTGCAGCTATCGCCTTTTATAGTTAGCAACGGCAAAAGCCTTGCGTTAGTGATAAGAGCAAGAATGCGACAAACCTTATTTATGTATTATGATAATAATTGGACACAATATAAAACCATGAAGAGCATCGCCATATAAATCCTCTAATATAAGTCCCTTGCTCTTTAAAATATATCGCGAAGAAAATGGACATGCAACGTTAAAACTTGAGAATTTATTCATAGACGATTTAAATTGAAAATGACAAAATTGTACTAATATGATAATGTTTGCCGTCTTCAACAGACGTTGCGAAACCGGACGAAATGTCGCCATAGCGTTCCAAGCAAGTACACGGAAAGAATAATTTTGTTTTTTTACAAAGGCGGTGCAAATTAAAAACGCCAAAACTGCACTACGACTAGTAACAAGAGCAAAGAGGCGGCGCTTTTGTAGACGTGTCTCGGAGGCCGGACGCGCGGCGCTCCCGGCCGGCACGCGCGTTCCATACTTGATTTATCACTCCATTGTTGCGGAGCGACGACCCACCCTCGCCGGATAACACTAAACATTCAATTGCCGGAACGCTCCCGAAGCGATTTGCTCCCTTACGGTCGATCGATTGACAGCCTCTCCGTGCCACTTGAGTTTGATCATATTCTTTAGTGGTTCAATTGGCCCTCGCTTGGATGTTTCGATGATATTTGCTTATGCTTATTATAAATACCATTACACATTAAAAGTCAGTAAAGTTCACTAACTTTACTGAGTTTTAGTGTGATATTCAAGGAAACAGTTCTTAGGATGTAAATGAATCTTACACTTTTGGCAAATAAAAAAACTGTTAACTTTGCAAACTTTGCATCTTAGTTGGGGAGCGCTGTACTGGACCAAGTGATCAACCCCATCATATCGAGATGATTCAAGATGAGATCTACCTGTGGGACATGGTCCCCTCTTATCGCTTTTTTTGTAGCTTTCGAGCAAACCTTTCGCCAGTAGTCTACGAAAAGTGAGATGATCATGTTCTCCACCGTCTCGCTTGTAAAGTTGCCATGCATTATGCACAGCCATATCTAAGGTGTGACAAAACAGTGAAAAATACCATTTCTTGCCACGAATAGAAGTCCGATACAACCCTATGTTTTTATCGGATCTATCGACCCCTCCCATATTTTCATTGTATTTTCTTATAACCGACGGTTGGTCAATATGTACAAATCTTTTTAGTTCTTGCGAAAATCTCTTGACTTTTTGCAGGGGCTCCACAGTTTCAGTATTCGATGCAACAGTAACGACACTATTGTCATTCCACTTGCAAACCAAAATATTGGTAGGCAAACTGGATTTGAATACAAATGAACTTCTATCAGTATTTTTGAAATCTTTGTTAGACTCGAGAGGACACTTGGACGTTCTGTTTTCACGAATAGTTCCAGTGGCTCTTAGACCTCTATTACTAAGTTCATGCAGTAGAGGAATAGAGGAAAAATAATTGTCGAAGAATAAATGAAATGGCAATGTTGGATCACGACCTTGTAGAACATCAGCAAACTCCAAAATCACACTCCCACCTAGACCAAACTGTTTGTAACCTTCTGCAATGGTTGAAGATTTTCCCTGGTAAGGATCAAACCAAATCACGTAGCCTAATCTTGTAGCACCAACCCACAGTTTATACCCCCAACGAATTGGTTTGCCACGTATAAACTGTTTGCAACTGTGACGTCCATAGTATGGAACCATAGCCTCATCTATGCTGTAGTTCTCTTCTAGCGGAGCCATTTCAGTAAAGATTTTATTTAACTCGTCAAACAGAGGTCTCAACTTAGCAAATTTGTCAGGAGAATCACCAAGAACTGTATTATCACAGCAGTGGAGATTTGACATAATAAAAGTAAAACGATCTCTTGACATAGCGTTGTGCACAATCCTAAAGTCGGCATCTGTCGATGTCTCCCAATACATAAACCTACGGGGTACTACTACATACCCGCTGTACATAAGGATGCCCAAGAAACACTTCATTTCAGAAACAGTTACTTTGCCCACTTTATTCCTCTGTCCTGCATACAAATTGGTATATCGCACTAGTAATTCAATAACATTGTTGTTGAACAAGCAGTCGAAATAATATAAGGGTGATTGTAAGTTTTTTGGACCTTGTTCGTCATTCCATTGATTGAAATGGTTTGGAATATGACAATTCTTCGATCTATAGGTTTGGTTTCGGGGAACTGTAGGCTGAACAAATGTAGAATTAGTTGACACATCTGAAGTACAAGAAGGTACGGCGTCACTATCTTCTAAAGTCAAATCCATCGTGCGTCTTCTTTTTGACAAACTTGACAAAGGTACATCATCTTCTTCGTCGGAACTCATATGAAAAGTGACCTCGGCTGGAGCTCGTAGTTGAGAGCCTATAAAAAACAGATATAAATATTGCAACCATATAAATAAAACAAGATAGAATCATTGATACGTAGTTATATCAACCCGAAAACAAATATTTTACCTGGTAGATTTTGCAATGCAACAAATTCTTCATCTCCAGAATCCTCATCTGTGACGTCGGCATTAGCGTTCTCAGGTGGAAAAATTGTAATTTGAGTTGGCAACAAATCATCATCCTCAGATCGCTCTAATTCATCAACTATATCGTTGAGAGTGAGTGCTCTCAAAGGTCGCGTGCTAAAAAGAAAACAATAATATTATAGACCCCCATATTGCGACGGGACTTTTAAAAGGCCATCAATTTGAAACGTGAAAAAGGAATGAGTTTTTGTTGCACCAAAACAAATAGATAACCTGATATTGTAGATAATATATCTAAAATTAAATATCAAAAGGTATTAGCAACAACATCCAGATATATAAATGATAAAAGCTTACCTTTGTCCAGACATCATGACACTAATACTCCTAAGTCTTCAATGACACAAAAACTTTAAATAAACAAGTGTCCAGTTGTAAACAACACCGCATGAAATCATACACGGATAGGTACTAAGTAACCTGACAGTGCAAATATCTTAGAGAATTCATTTTAACAACTCGAAACTTGAGGGTATTTTTAATAATTTTTTCGGGTCTTTTAAAAGCCCCGTCGCAGTATCTGGGTTAATGGCTGTCAGAAAACAGTGAAAAATATCTTTTATGGCAATTAACAACCTACGAACACATTACAATGGATTTCATTACGCCGACAGTGATAATGTTATTTTTTCGCTTACCGAATAACCAATCTATACAAATAAATAAAATTGAAATGTCTGTTTGTAATGTCAAAATAACAGTTTTTTACTAAATGCATATGAAAGTAAATACGATACCTATAACTAAAATACAATTTTTAAAATTTTTGTCTGTCTGTCTGTTTGTTCCGGGTAATCTCCGAAATGGCTGGACCGATTTTGACGGGACTTTCACTGGCAGATAGCTGATTTCATAAGGAGTAACATAGGCTACTTTTATTTTAGAAAAGAATCAGGGTTCCGCGCAGAAACATAAAAACCCTAACACGCGAACGAAGTCGCGGGGAACAGCTAGTACATAATATATTTCTTGAAAAGAAACTGGAACGATATCTAGCTTTATACTTTTTATATAATGTCAAACAACTCTCTTATTACCATGTAATAAATAAACTAATTAACTCTTATGTGAGCTTATAAATTTACATTCGGCTAATAATAGACTTAATAATAATGAGCGAGAACGGCATGTGGCTCGTACAGCTGCCTACTTACTATGTAAGTGCACGAGTTATCAGATCAAATTCGCGCACGCGTGCCGCAATATTGAATTTATGCAAGTTACAACCATATATTTATTGTAAGTCCTGCCATTGGATTATAAAAGAGTTGTTCTAGACATTTGTACAACTCAGTATGTATGAGTAAGAAAATGCGTACTTGTTTTTTTTTTTAATTAAAATTAATAGTAATAAATTAATATTAATTTTTTTTTATTTAATTGTTACAGGCGAGCCCAGAAAATAGTAGAAATGCTTCACCAAGATATCACGATGCATCGATGGACGATGTAAGCATTATTTTTGTAAAATCGCTTATATTATAAGTTGTACGCATGTTTGCCACATATTAGTTAACAATGTAACATAAATGCCTGACTCTGAACTAAAACGGCTGATTTTTTTAAACTTAAGAGCTCTTATTGCTGTCGCACTATATCTAGACGTCCGAGCTAGACAACCGAGTGAGACAACTGCCTCAGGAAACACGTTGGACGTTGATCCTGCGCCTGATCTCTCTCAGGTCGTGTTGTATTGCCGTCCCATCTCATTATGAGAGTGAGGGGATAGAGATAGAAAGTGTACCTGTGTGCGCAATACTTTCGTACTAGTCTCCGTGAGACTCATCGCTGTGACCGAAATTTGATTATTGCATCATATTTTCTATTATTTTTATGTCCATTTAAATTGTTTGCAAGATATAACTGGGCAGAATTTACAATAACTTAATTATTCTCATAAATTAATTATTTAAAGTTTTTAAAATTAATATTTTATGGGAAAAATAAAACAAAGACAGATCAAGACAGTGGTAGATATAAATTGTATTATATATATATATATATATTCATATAATACAATTTATATCGTTTATCGTTTCATTTACTTAATCATTAGTTTGAAGAGGCATGTTCAATATTTTTTATTATAATTGTCATTACTTGTTGTATTGAACATAGTCCTCTCAAAGTTTAATACGACGCATGCCACTCTATCAACTGCATCTATCGAATCCCTCTATGCTTCATCAAATCCTCATTTAACCATGGGTTAGCTTCTTACATTCTACTCCGTTACGTTAATGAACATCCATTATGTTCTTCTTCTTCTTTTAAAATGATGGCTTCTCTTGTTCCATTATGTTATTTTTTTTTATGTTAATACGTAAACTTTATATCGGCATTAGGCATCGGATGCTGGCTCTCTGTTCCGGGTGACGGGCACTGGCGGCGCTGGGAAAAACGAGCTGGTGGCGCGGGGTGGAAGCGGAGGCGCCCTAGCGCTATCTCGCGCGCCCGTTGGTGGCAGCGCGAGCCCCGCGCCCGCACCATTGCCGCAGCCAGCGCCGTCGCCCGCACCCGCCGCGCTGCCGCCGCCCGCGCTACCCCCGCCGCCCTTCCGCGCGGACACACCGCACCGGCCCAACGGCGCGCATATCCCCGCGCTCGATGGCCACGCCGCCACGCAGATACCTTCTCGACCCGTCGGCGCCGCGGGCCCAGACACCCCCGAGCGGCCCGCCAGCAACAACAAGCTGCAGCCGGGCGCCCGCGCTGCAGCCGACAGTCCCACACCGGCCCCGCCGGCGCCGCCCGCGCCTTCCCCGCTCTTCCCCTCGCACACAGCTTACCAGGCGCACGCGACCGCCGCGCTGCCCGACTACCGGCACACGAATCATGAGACGCGGACGGAGGCGGGCGATCCGGGCGCCGCGCCGCTGGACCTGCACGCGCACCACGCGCCGCGGCCGCACGCGCCTCCCTCACCATCCCCGCACCCGCATCCGCACCCTAGTCTCCCTGGCCGTGTGCCGCCGCAATCACACCCCGTCATGCCCGGACACGACGTTCGGAATGCCCCACCCGTCTCGCAACCGCATCCTTCCATTCCTTCCTCGTATCCGAACCGCATCGGCAGCGTACCCCAAACCGCGCCGCTCGCCGCTCCCTCCTCCAACTCTACCTGTCTTCCGAATCAAAACGTACCTGGCCGGCCCCACTCACCGAATGCCCCGACTTCGCGTCCATACCCCGTTTCGGCTATCGGGTCTAGTCATGTAAACTCCAGTCTAAGTTCCAGTGTTCACAGTCATTCGATACCTTATCAAAGTCAAACGAGTTTACAGAAACATTCCGTTCAATCGGTTTACGCGAATCGACCCTCGCATCTTTCGACGTTCAGCGTATCTAATCATATTTCCTCCAATCACATACAATCTTCTACAGCTAACCAACAGATGCCTACACATTTGAGCCATTCGATCAACAGTCATTCCATTATAAGTCACCAAAACAATATTCCCATGAGCAACTCCAATCCGTTAGCGACTTCCACTCCGAATCACACCAGCTCGCCACTCTCTCTGGCAACCACGACAGCTAGTTCAGTATCGAGTTACATGGGCTTAAAACACCCGGGTCTCAATTTACCTCCTCACTCTACGTCCCTTGGGCCACCAGTCTCCATTATACAGTCCGTGAATCACGTGGATGCTCCAACGACGACTAGCGCACCGGCAATAGTGGCTTCCTCGAGTAGTAACAATCATCCACTGGCGCCACCGATCATTGATTCAAGGCAGACGGCAGTATCGTCAAGTGAACTGCCGTCGAGAAGCGAAGGCCCAATCATCAGCAGTTCACTTTCCTCCAACGGCTTCCCACCACCGGCTGTCTACTCTGGGAGCTCATACCCGCCACTCTACGCGCCTTACGCTACTACATTACAACATAGTCCCTATTTACCACCCGCGGCTGCGTCACCTAGAAACACTACCGACACGGTAAGAAACTCGAAATTTGAGTTATAATATGTTGTACTCCTATGTTGGAGGCCAATTTTACCTTAAATTACTTAAAGTAACTTATTAAATACTAATTTGAACATTGTTAATGTTTAAAGAAAAATTATACTGCTAACATATTATTAATCTTAAAATGGACTGGAGTATTTTTTAATATTAGATATTTAATAAACGAGCTAGCAGTCAACCTATGGTAAGTGGCTATTGCATCTCCCATAGAGCTAAGATGAAATCTGAACTAAAAAATGAACTGGATAATTAGAATAGGTATACTGCTGCTTTGCGGCAATAATAGGATCATACTTACACTCTGTAGTTGTGGGGTTAAAGTATTACTTATTCCACAGAACAAATAATATGCTTATACTTACTATATTTGGCAGACAACTGATCATAAGAAAATATTTCTATTACAGAGAACAACTCTGTCAGCGTCTCCGCTGGTGGCGCCTAAGACGCCAAAGGGCGTGCGACCGCACACACCAGGCTCGCTAGGCGCGGCGGGGGCTCACGCGCCGCTGTCCTACTCACCGCGCGGTCACAGCCCAGGGAGGGAGCGAGAGAGTTACAGGTGCGGACTCTTATTGCTATAATAGCTATATACGAGACGCTGAAGAAATTGCGTCAAGTTCGGCGGGAAAGGTTATGGCATCCGTTTTTGGGACGCTTAAGGAATAATTATGGTGCAATACTTGGAAAAGGTAGCCTCTATTTCGGTCTCTTATTACGTAGGCCAAATAAAAAAATAACTCTGTCATCATCATCAATCATTACAAATGCATATTGGAACATTGAATGCAATGGTAGATATATGTGCTTAATTTCAGCAGCAACATCAGCAGTTTGTCACGAAGTACACCAGCGTCGGCGGCGAGTGCGCCAGTATCAGCATCAACGCTGACAACGCCGCTTGCCGCTCCGTTAGCAGCACCGCTCGCCGCTCCGCTCACCGCACCGCTCGCTGCCCCGCTCGCCGCCCCGTTGGCTGCCCCGCTCGCTGCACCATTACCGACACCGTTGGCAGCTCCACTTACGGTCAATAAAATTCATTATAATAATAACTTAACAGTCCTACAAATTTCGACTATGATTTCGATTCGATTTCGATTTAAAAACTTGCATTAATAATAATTTGTTGGTGAATTGATCCAATATGAATAAGTATATCTAATGACCCTTTTTACTATATAGAAGGCATTCCATACTAGTCCTCAAGGGTGATAACGCATCTGCATTTTGATTTGTAGTTGTGTATAGATGTAGATGTCTATGGGCCACTGTATCCCCTTACCATCAGGTGGACTGTAAGCTCGTTTCTCACCCTTATTCTATATTTCTATATAAAAAAAGTGAATAAGTCCGCCGTTATTGATACATGATTATGTTTTAGAGTTAAATCATGTTTTTGCTATATGAAGCACTCATCATTCCATTTTTATATCAGCATAAAGAAAAAAACTTGTTTCTTTCAGGACAATTTATTTGAAGAAATTGACCCATAACTCCAATGCTTACGCCAAATCTAAAACTGGTGTTCGTCATCATTTTTAATTTACGTACATTGTGTATACTTGCAGTCATCTCTGGGCGGGCTGGGCAGCGGGTTGGGCAGCGGGTTGAGCAGCGGTCTGAGCAGTGGACTTGGAGCGGGGCTGACGGCTCCGCTGGCTGCGCCCACGCCCACGCCGGCCGCGCCGCCCGCGCACCTCACGCACTCGCTCGCGCCCGTGCCCACCGTGCCCAGCATTAGCTCCAGTGCCAAGCCGCCCGCGCACTGGGGGGTAACGTGAGTACACGCAAGCGATGACTCGCCTCTATTCACTTATCCATGCTCTTACTCTAAGCGTAAATACTCCAGCAATTATTTAAAAAAGATCATAATTAAGGGAAATTATGCTTATCATTAAATACTGATAGTATTTATATGCTGCAGCGTCCCCAGCGTGAACAACCCAAAATTTTTTACAATAAACATATTTTATTAAATGGATAAATTATGAACCATATTATGCCAAACTGATAACAATTACCAAATAATCAATAGTATGAAGAAAATCTTCATAAAAATCTGCTTTGCTTCTACTAATGCCGGTATTGATCACATTAAACTTATATAATGCTTTATATTTATATTGGAAAAATTAATTAGAATAAAAGTAATAATTTAAATTTAAAATTTTGTACAACCGACTTCAATATAAATTATTAAGAATTTAAAAACTATTTGTCAGATCTTGATCAAATTTATATGGGATCACATAAGAAGCACATATTTTTAATGCTTGAATTTATATTCGAAAAATTAATTACAATAAAAGTAATAATTTAAATTTAAAATTTTGTACAACCGACTTCACTAAATATAAGCCTCCACCAAGGAACGCCGAAAAGCAGAATACTGAACAACCTGCAGCCATCGACTTTGCATGTCTTACCAGGTCCTCACTCCATCTAGTGAGGGACCTCCCTACACTCCTCTTAGTGGTAACAGGCTGCCACTTTAAATCTTTTATTGCCCAACAGTTGTCAGTTAGGTATGCTATATGGCCGTTCCATTGCCACTAATTATCTATATTTAATAATGCTGTTCTGTTCTTATCGAGATTAAGCACTATTTAGATCTAAATTGCAATGCCCACCTGTAAAGTGATACAATGCTTTAATGGAAATATTTTATCTTTCCAGCAGGCCAACGGCAGCGGACCGTACAGCTTTTCCACCAGCACCGCCGCTATTCGGAGCACCGCTTGCGCCGCCTAATCCCAATCCGTTCTCAGCTGAATCACTTTTTCAATCCAGTAAGTGTACCTTTATTATTACCTACATACCTTAACTAACTATACTTTATGTTTTTACACCTTTGTAGCTAAAGGTTAAAATAAATAAAATTAATTGTATTAAATTCCCTTTTTATAAATTAATTAATATAAACATTCATTCTATTTTACCCATAATTTTCCATAATACAAAATGTAGTTCAAAATGTGCATTACTAAAGCTTGTGCAATATTATTTTTTCATGTCAAGTGTTACAATGGGTGGTCTTAAACTAATGGCATTCTCTATGTATAGCTATATTATATAACTGGTTTGGGTAGTTATCAGTCTTATGTTAAAGTATGCTGTAGTTAATTTCTTACATAACATTTTATGAATATAATTGATCTTCATAACCAGTCAAACTAGATTGTAACTAATATTTTTCTTATAGAAATAGGACAGTTTTTAGTTGTAGGTCGGTAATCCAATGAAGTTGTAATATTAAATTTAAACTAATTAAGGTTGATATGTAGAAATTGTATTAAGTTAAACTATATTTACGCCTAGCTTAGCTTACATATTTAAACAATCAGGTGTTGGCAATCGACGAAAGATCTAAAATCTCGGACATGTTAAAACGCAGTCATCTTAAAATGCTACTGATTTCCAAAGAAAGTACCCTGATTTTAAAAATGGGCGTCCACTCTAATTTTTAAATTTAAAAAAAAACTCTGTACAAACCCTTATTTATTTAAATTTTATTGAACCTTGCATATTAAGTACAGAAACTAAAGGCCAACTTAATGCTAAAAGCTTTCCCTGCCAGTCAACCAACCTTAGGGCAGTGATAGAACTACAAAGGCGGTTACAAAGACATATACATACACACATACACATACATATTATACATACATATACATATATACATGCCTATACATATATACATACAAATACACACATCCATACATAAATACATACATCCAATATACACAAATATATAAATTTATATATTATAAGAAAATATAATATAATACAAGATACATAAAGATACGTAATATACTGATGAAACTAATATATAGAGATTACAACTATAATGATGACCGAACTTAGCAGTTGTAAAGCAATTTTAGAAAATGATTTTGAACATTCTTCTTATATGTTTAGTTGCAGGTAGGTTGTTTTAATTTTTCAGGCAGGTCATTCCATAGGCGCGCGGCTTGGACAACAAACGATGAAGATATGAAACTCGAACGGTGAAGGGGTACAAAAAGAGCCAGAGTCTCCAATGAACGAAGCTGTCTGTCATGAGTGTCCCGCAGAAATTGTTATGTTTCAGATAATTTGGATAGTCGTTATCGAATACAATAGAAAACACTGTGTTAACTATTCTGAGTCTTCGCTGACGAATTGGAAGCCGTTTAAGCCCATTGTGGAGTGAGGATACATGATCAAAATTACGAAGACGAAAAATAAAACGGATACACGAGATGAGACGATCCAGCTTATCAAGGAAAACCTCATTGAGATCAGGAAAACATACATCAGCATAGTCAATAATAGGCAATATAAGAGATTGCACCAGAGTTATCTTTACCTTGACCGGAAGAAAGTTCCTGAGACAGTTCAAAGCACTGAGCTAAGCAAAAGCAGAAATCTGAATTTTGGTGGACCAACTCAAGGTTGTGTCAAAGTAGACACCCTGATTTTTAATGCTGTCAGAATACGGTATGATAGAATTATCAAATGTGACACAGGTGGAACGCAATGGACGTCAAGCATACACAATTGTTGATCACTACCAATTATTATAGCTTGGCATTTATTGGGGTTCACACTAATACCAAACCTACGAAACCAACTATGGAAATTCGTTAAATCCATATTGAGTCTGGCAATAGCGTCACATAAAGAGTTGACGTCTCCTTGAACATATATTTGCAGGTTATAAGTGTAAAGATGATAAGAGCAGCTAAGTTGAGAAGAGAGTAAGTTATTAAAAATGGAGAATAGAAGTGGAGATAATATTCCACCTTGTGGAACGCCAGTGGAGTGTTGACACCAGTCAGATATGTCACGACCATTAATGACAGCTTGCTGACGGCCACGAAGGTAGGTAGAAAACCAGTCTACAGCAGTAGACGAAAATTTGAAATTTCGAAGAACGCGTTTGTAAAATCAATCAATACAAGGACTGTGACCTTTCTATTCTCCTGCCATCCCGATTGTCCTCTGTGGTCATGCTGTGTCCAGGCCGAAAGCCAGATTGAAACTGAGATAGCAAGTTATATCTACAAATAAAGGCAGACAATTGTTGGTTAACTATAGATTCAAGAAGTTTTAATAGAAAGGTAAGATATAAATAGGTCTATAGTTGTTGAGTTGAGTGGGGTTAGAAATTTTGGGAAGAGGGTTAATATAAGCTTTACGCCAAGAAGCAGGAAAGACCCAAGACCACAGAGAAAAATTAATTATGTGAGTTATGACTGAGAGAAAGTTTTTGAGAACGGAAGAGATCATAAGGCGACTCACATTATCACAGTCCACTGCTTTGGATTTAATAGATACAAAAGTTTGTAGTGGGCTTAATGATAAGCGATAATGTAGAACCAGCTGAAAAATGAGAATTAGGTCATTTAGAGGAAAAGAAATGTTATGCCTTTTTTCAGCAGAGTGCTTACCAATACCAAAATATTCGGGAACTTCCATACATCGGCAGGAGAAGAGTTAGAAATATCATCATGGAAATAGCAATACTTTGCTGTCCTTACCATGTGGTTACAGCGATTGCGAGCCACTTTATACAAACGCCAGTTGTCATCACACCTGTCACGCTTGAACTTTCTAATAGCCCTGTCACGTCGAGTCATTGCCACGTGAACTCCCTTCGTAATCCACGGAGCTGGAGGTCGCTTATCTCTAATAGCTCGCACCGGTGCACATGGACATATAACAGACAGAACCTTCATGCAGCCCGGTATATAGCTTCTCAATTACATTGATAGGTCTTATTTCTAATCAGGTATCTAATATCTGAACGGAGACAGTAATGTTTTGATTTTTATATGTGACCCTTATTAAAGTTTTATGCTTATAAATAATTTCTTATCTAAATAGGTCTGATTAGTAATAAATGATTGCAGGCCCGGGCGCGGACCTGCTACGTCGCGAGCTAGACAACCGGTTCCTGGCGGCGGCGGGTGCGGTGGGCGTGGGGTCGGTGGGCGTGCGGACGGAGCTGCACCACCACCAGCACCAGCACACGCACGTGCACCAGCACCCGCCGCACGCGCCGCCCGCGCCTCACGCGCCGCACGCGCCGCACGCACCGCACGCGCCGCACCACCCCCACCAACTGCTCGTGCCGCACTCGCCGCTGGTCAGTTCTTACACCTATACTTAAACACACACCATACAAACAAACTGACCCACTCAGATTGTTTAGCGAAACTAATAAAAGGAGTTTTTATTATTAAATTTTTTCAAAGAACTTCAATTTCCATAAATCCAAGATTCATCACATAATGTCATAAATACGCCGAAACAAGCCTGTTCCAAATTTAGTACACACGTCACGACACCATCCCACGCGGGCCTGTTTCTGAGCATCGGTGAGTTGTGCGGCACGCAACGCTGAACTATCCTTCTCGCGCGAACATGTTCGTTGTAAAAATCTCGTGAACTCTTCCCAAACCAATCTGCAATATTTTGCTTGATCTTTTCATAACTCGTTTCATATATAATTCGTTTATATATTTTTCAATTAAATTTATATTTTCACGGCTAGCACGTTTCCTTTCGTAACAGTCGCCAAAGTGCTACCATTTTTTACATCATCTCTTAAAGTTAGTCAACCATGCTGAAAATTTTTATACCAACGGTAGACAGTTATCTTAGGCCCGTATTAATAAACGTTACTCAGCTCAAGTACACGCACTTGAGTACAATATTGAGGTTATGATCTTATTAATAAACATATCTTAAGATGCGGTTAGGTCAGCATCATTTCAGTTATGTACATATTGTACGGGGGGAACAGCTAGTAAGCTGTTCCCCGCGACTTCGCCCGCGTGTTTTTTGGGCTTTTAATTTTTTTTTTGCGCGGAACCCTAATACTTTTTCTACAAAAGTAGCCTAAGTTACTCCTTGTGACATCGGCTATCTGCCAGTGAAAATCCCGTCAAAATCGGTCCAGCAGTTTTAGAGAATAGCCGGAACAAACAGACAGACAGACGGGCATAAACTTTAAAAATTGTATTTTTGTTACAAGTAGTACCGTATATACTTTCATATGCATTTACTAAAAAGCTGTAATTTTGACATTACAAACAGACACTTTAATTTTATTTATTTTTTTAATTTTTATTATTAGATACTTCTTGCGTTCCATTTTTGTATAAATTAAATTTACCGCGAGATCAAAGTTAAGTAATCAAGATGTTTTCCAATGTCAAAAATGATACGTCAGTTTTATATTTGACACTGGCGCTGTCGTCGCTTTTGCGTTATGTTTGCGTTATGTTATTTGAACATATTGAATATAGTAGTAAACATTTAGTTCGTATTTAGAAATACATACATAATAGTTTTAACAATTTAAGGTTTGCAAATGAAGAAAACAAAAGTTTTATCAAAATAAAAGTATTCAATAAATCTCACGATATAGCAAAAACGAAACGTGATGAATGATATTCAAAACTTCGTTCTATGTGACGTAATGATTCACAAGATTAAGCCCTCAAGTCACAGAACAGTATTCCTAAGTACAATTTCTTGAGATACCGTTTTTATGTGTTTATTAATTAATAACGATCTTGAGATGCTGATATCGTAATGAGGGCGTATCAAATTTTTACTCACTTGAGTTTGTCGTTGAGTAACGTTTATTAATACGGGCCTTAAAAAGGCGTTTATCCATAAGTACCATTCATAGTCCTTCAAACGATTCGTCTGGTCAAAATATAACCGCGAGAAAATATTCCTGACGTAGATTCATCTTTCAATGAGACACGATATTTCAATTTAGCTTTTATAAAAATGTGGAGGGAAAATTGAAATTGGAACATTTGTATTTTTACTTGTAAATTAATCGTATATTCAAAATAAATCATAAATGGCAATTGTCTTATACAAAACCACTTTTTTCGCATAAATTTCTTTGCGGCAGCCGTATTTACATTTGTTACTATCCCATAAGTTTTTAAGGTAAGTATGATACTTGGAATGGATAGTACGTTATTACAAATTTGGTTGGCTTACAATATCAACTTCTTAAAGTTAGAGTGGGTGGCAAACAAACACAACGCACAATCCATCTGATAGGGGGATGGACACCTTCATTTATTTTCAATTACTTAAGAATCAAAATGCAGATGCCTTGTCCCTCCGAGGACTAAGATTAAATGCTTCGTAATCACTAAAAATAATTTCCGGTCCTCTGTACTCACTATACAAAACAGCAGGATTATGCTACTATTTTACGCTGTTATTTTGTGAGAGCGTGGTCCATCTTCGGCCGTGGCTAACCCTAAATGTGCAGCCATATTTATTAAATCTGCAGTGTGGCTCTACCAACAACTTCCCATTTATTGACTAGTTTGAGTTTCTTTTATTTAGTTATATTAAGATTGGATTATTTAAATAAAAAATGAATTTGAAATGTAATTGGATGTAAGAGTTAGACTAAGTAAAAGTCGAAATCATCAATACAGCCTATTAAAGACTACTACTGGCCACTACATTAGGCCTTCCCAACAGATTGCCTCATAGAGTTAATATTCGCCATTGTTGCTTCACTTGATGATGGGTTTGGCAACTGAAGTTTTGCATTATTTAGTGTTGTAATCAGGAAGATGCTGCTCATATCCAGTTTCATTTCTTTCTGTCGTCTCTTACGACACCAATGGAATAACATGGAGTAAAGAATTCTCACCTATATATTATTATAAAAATATACAGTAAAAGTGGAATACTATAATTTATTCTGATGAAATTTTATACTATGCTCACAGATGAATATAGAGATTGTTGAACTGACATTTGGCTTTGCGTTTCATACTAAACCTATAAATGTATGTATCATTATTTTAAAATTTATAGATTTTATATAATTTCGCATTTTGCTGTTTTTTGAAATAAATAATAATAAAAAAAATGGTGGCACATGTCTTGGTTTGGTCTTGGTACATATATCATTATAATAGATTGACATTACTGATAAACTTTATTTCATATTATAAAAAATATATTGTTTTAATATATCAGTAATTCCATGTTTGTTTGTTTGTTTTTTTATATACTTAGTAGATGTTAAAAAATATTTCGTTTAGATTATCACCCAATGTCCTTCTACGTGAACATATTGTGCCAATGTGGTTGCCACCCAGACCGAAAATTTTAAAAATAACTTTATTACAGTATTTTTTGATGTCGTTTTTGTCCTAGCTTTAATTATATAAGTATGAATAAATTTAGACTGACAACAAACATTCAAAATAGTTTGTTCATGTCTAAGAACAATGGACCGTATATTATTAATAATAATTAGGTATATGTTTTATGTTCTCTGTGGACGTCATTGGACTGTTAAGCAATAAAAAAAGCTGTTTTTATTTTATCACATAAATTGTTTTTCATCACTTTGGCTACTGTTTTGGCATCAAATTATTTATTTTTTAAAGTAAAACTTTAATATTAAAATTATTTTATCACTTTAAACACAACTAAAATAGCTTCTTCATTCAAACTAAGGTAAATAATGAAAACATTAAAAAATGAGAGATGAAAACTTAATAAAACAATAAAGTTAAAATCACATTCTTAACCTTGAACTTTGATATTATATTATGATATACCAGAGATGCGATATTTTTTATAGTGGCGTAGTTGGCATCTAGATTGTTCATCAGAAAAGAGAGGCATGTGATCGGCACCTTGCGTACGTCATTTTTTTGGACGAAACAAGAATAGTGGATTTTTACTCTCTTGCGTTGCACAGGCTCATGTTATTCAAAGTTTGAATTATAGATTTCAATAGTCTCCGACCTTGAATATGTCTCAATTAGGAGTTCGCCAAGGTCATTTTTGAATACCCGCGATTGATCTTTTCCATGGGAATTTTTAGTTCCTAGATAGACAGTTGCCAACCTACCTGGTTGGAATCCCTGTTTCTGGTTGGAATTTATAAGGAACCATCATGAAGATAGTATCCTTTAAATTTTTGCAAATTTTTTTTATGTAATAACACTGTTTAAAGGCCTTACAGTTTTGAAACGCCTTTGATATCAGGCGATGCCGCCGCCCGCGTAGGTATTTACGCGGGCAGCGTGTATGTTAGGGGTTGTCACGAGATTGGGAATAAAATAATTTTGGATGTTATAATACTCCTTATCATTTATTAACATTATGTACATACATCTAAGTTAAAAACATTTATCGAAGAAGATCATTTTTATTACTACTAAAACTGTTGCACTACCAAATATTTTCGTGATACTTTCTTTTTATAGATATTTTCAGTTTTTGATTGTTAAATTTAATTATGTATTCGCATTCGGATAAACAATTGTATCCAAAAAAAATGAGGGAAGTATAAGCATGGCCGTCATTTGAATTAAATTTTACTTAGTAACTCATATAATAGTAATTCTCCATTATACATATTATATTTTTTGAAAACTGCACATAAAACTAGTTAAATAAGTACTATAAAACACGCTCGCGCCAACCGCATGTATTGTCTATCAGACTCAGTGACTGAAGTGTAATAATAATTTTATAGTAATGTCTAAACTGCAATAATAATTTATACAAGGAGCTTAGTTTTATTAAATTGCTTTTTTTTTTTCAGTACAAAGATATGGGGAAAATGACATCACTTTACCGGACAGGGCTGGGTCTTGGTTATCCATACTCCTCAAGTTTGTTACATCCTACTGCGCCTTACGTACCTCCAGCACCACTCACTACTTATGCACCTAAGGTAAGAATGGTAAATTATAATTACATTTTTATCGCTCGAATTCCCTCTCATTACTATATAATATTAATGCTTTTACGTAGAAAACATTTTCTAGTTTTAATAAGTGGGTAGGATTTATATACTAGACCTAGTTTCACTCCATAAATTTGATCTTTTCATGCACATATCGTATGTTTTAAATACATAAGTTAAAACATAAATTATATCTAATTTTTTTACATAAATTGCACACCAACTTGTATCATTAGGTTCTTTTTACATTTTAATTTATGTTATTAATAAATGTAAGTAGTAAAATGCTATTATTAAATTCTTTTTTATTGAATTCCTATTTTAAGTCGTCATATATTTACGTGTTACATTAAAGACTGTATTTTAGTAAGATATTTATAGGATCATGTTACAAAATCATGAGACACAAGGAATAGCTACCATAGATATCATCTCTCTTAGAGTTGCTACAGTTAAAATATTACCTTAGCAATATATTGTTATAAAATATCTGAGTGATCTAGCTTTGCTCAACTAAAGCTAAAAAATTCACGAGATTTTTTTTTAATTTAAATACCTAGAAAAACTGAAAAGTAAAACATTATTTAAATACAAATTTTTTTTTTTTTGGGAAACCATAGTTCACACTGTAATATTATATTGTATTGATCAAAATCAAAATTTGTCACCTAAGAATTATAAATTGCGACTTTAAAAAAAAAATGGGTCAATTCCATGAATTTATTTCTCTGTTAAATCATATGTAAAGTAAGATTTTTGCCATTTTGCTATAATTATGATGGGCATACGAAAATGTCAATCTTATGGCTTGAAGACTTGGGTCTAATTTATTTGGATGGTTTTAATTTGAATAATTTGATAAAGGAAATGCTGCATCTATAATGAAGAATGTGGTCCAAAATATCTGTTTTTCTTTTCTTTTAAGTTTTAAAGTTTTGTTCTTGTACACACTGTAGTCACTTATTATGTTATCCAGTTTTATTAGATTTCTAATTTGTAATATTTTCTTTGTACTCTTTTCTTAATGTTTATTAGTTTAATTGTTAATATTGATTATTTTGGTGTAAATTTAATGGGTATTAATCAATTTCTAATAGCTCTTAAAGCTTCACTATTACATCTATGTACCTCAAGCTTAGTGCTTGCGATTTATTTTGCTCTATCATCATTAACACTGCATCGCATCATTTTAACAGCCCGTAGTGTCGGCCGCAAGTGACTCCGCCACTAAACCACCACCACGTCCCGCTGTCGCGGTAGGTTTTTTCCTCTTTAGCAATTACTTTCACCCTGCATGCTTGTGGAAATTTTGTATTTATTGAATTTAGTATTTTCATTACAAACGTTTTTAACGGTAATGTAATCTTGTTTTTCTAGAAAACTGGCAAATGGAACGCAATGCACGTTCGCATCGCGTGGGAAATCTACAACCATCAACAGAAAGAGAAGTCGGGCGGCGGCGGCGGCGGCGCGCTGTCGGGCGGCGACAAGGACAAGCTGCGAGCGTTCCCGGCGCCCGCGCCGCCGCCGCCCACCTACCGCTCGCCTTACGAGCTGCCGCCCGCGCCCTACCTGCCGCACCACCCGCACCTAGGTAGCAGCCGACACGGCGTCCGCTCCTCCTTCGCGCCGTTCGCCCTCGCAACTCACAGAGATTTGGGCGTTTCAGGGGTGTCGCCGTTCGCGCGGTACGGCGCCGGCGCCTATCCGGGGGCGCCGACCGCGTTCGGCCTCTCGCCGTACGGCCGCGACCTGGCACTGTCCTCGTCGCTGCACGGCGTGCACCACGCGCCGCCCCTGGGTGCGCTGCACGACGCGTGGCGCGGCGTGCGCCCGCCCGTGTCGGCCGCCGCCGAGGTGCGTCGCGAGCACGAGGAGCGCGAGCGCGCGCGCCGCGAGCGGGAGGAGCGCGAGAGGCGGGAGCGCGACGAGCGCGAGCGGCGCAAGGCGCGCGAGCGGGAGATGGAGCGCGTCCGCACGCGCTCGCCGCTGCGCAACGGCGTGCCGGAGCCTCCCAAGGACGAGCGCAAGGAGCCACCGCGCCCGCCGCCCGCGTTGCCCACGTACCCGCCGCCACCGCCCTGGGACCCGTACCGCTCCTTCGACCCGCTGCAGCACATGAGGTTCGCGCCGCTCGTGGAGGCCGCCATCCGCGCCGAGGAGGACCGCGCGAAGATGTTGAGCGCGTATGCGCACCACCAGCAGCTGAAGTCGGGCCCGCTGCTGCACCGGGGGCTGCACGGCGCGCACGCAGGGCACGCGGCGCACGCGCACGCGGCGCACGGCGGGCACGGCGCGCACGGCGGCCACGCGGCGCACGGCGCGCTGCCGCTGGGCGCGCACGGCCCGCTGGCGCCCCTCGCGCCGCTCGCGCCGCCGCTGGCGCCCCTGGCCCCGCTCGACCTGCTCAAGAAGGAGGAGCCGCGATGATAGCGACCCGCCCACGCCGCAACTGATGTAAATACATTAGCGTGAACGATACAGCCCAAGTGAGAGTACGACTTATTTAATGTAATATCGTTTCACATTATCGGTTTAGAGAATTATTTATTGTAATGACGTCGCTTGCAAAACGACGGTCGCTAGTCTCGTTGGCCGCCCGTCTCGACACATTGATTTTTAGTGTAATATTAAATCTTATCGTAGTTGAGTGAGCGTCGCGAGGGCGGAGGGGAGGGCGGAGCGAGCGCTCGCTTTCTCAAATGTGCAATATAGAACGAGGACACTGGGCGCTCCTCGCTGCCGGCCTGTACACTACTGCTTGTTTATTTACTGAGAATATCTATAGAGTTGTTATTGTGACCATTATTAGTTAATTATACATTAAATTGCTGATTATGTGAAGGATAGGATTATCGGAATCGCTATCGATATAATTATACATATTTATATATACTTATAAATAAAATGTAAATATTAGCTGGTAATTAGTGTTAAATATAGAATTGGTTTATTTAACGTCATACAAAGGAAAAAATCCCATAAATTATTATCGTATCGGGAGTTTATTTTACACTTCCGTTAAAAATCTCATAATGGTTTTTCGATTGTACCAGTGGAGTTTGATTTATTTATTTACACTCCTCACTTCCATGTGTTCTTGTAATTAAACTTGAAAATATTAACTTTTGTTACATAAAGTAGTAGTTGACATTTCTGTTTGATGCATTTAAAAATATGTGATATTATTATATTGTGGAATACATTTTGTCTGACTTCAACATAGTGTCTATTTGCAAATAGTTTAATCAATATTTGTGAAAGTAGAATTCAAATACATATAAATGTTAATTAATTGCATCATAACATCATTTTACATATTTTTGAGTTTGCTATTTCTATTAGTACTTTGCTTATGTTGGATGATTGTATTTATTCTTTAATGAACTCTATATGTGCCATTAAAATAAATAAATAATGAGCATTATTGAGTCAGACAAAATTAAATTTATAACCTGTTTTAAGGCATATTTGATGGTTTTGTCCTCATGATTCCATGAAGATTAACTCTGAAATGTATTATAGTTTATACAAAAAAAAATCATTCTGTATACTAAAAAGTAAATGAAAGCTTGGTGCGATTCAGAAAATACCATTAAAACTTTTGATTTTTATACCAATACGATTTTTCTATAGAATTCCTATCCATGTTACCTTGCTCAGTTATTTTGTTTGATCCCTTAGCATTTCTATAGACAACCCATCACCATCCCATAAGCAATCAGTTGCTGGAATGTGTTTTTCACAAATTAAAATGAATGGCTGCAATTGTATACTAAGCAATATAGAACAAGTATCTGAAGTCTAGTCTTAGTTCTAAAATTCCAGTAACTATGCCCCACGGTCACCAACTTTCACGGAAATCATTTAAGAATGGTGATAGACTTCATTATCATCATCATTACAGCCCTTCACAAGTCCACTGCTGAACATAGGCCTCCCCTAAGGAATGCCACAAAGCACTGTTCTGAACCACCTGCATTCATCGATTTCCAGCATATCTTACCACCTCTTCACTCCATTTAGCTCCCCCTACACTTCACTTACCAGTACGAGGTTGCCACTCGACCTTTCTTCCCCGTTGGTTGTCGGTTCTTCGAGCTATATGGCCGGCCTATGGCCACTTCAGCTTACTCTAATCCGTGGGGCCGTAAGCTGGGCGATAGACTTACATGAGATTTGTCTAGAATCTAGGACCAAATTACTTGCAGAGAAAATCCACCCTAAATTAAGTGCTTTAGCCCATTAAATGCAAGGCAAACGTGCATCACTCATAATGAACGTACAACACTGCAGTGTCAGCCTCTATAATAAAAAATAAAGCTTTTCAGTGACGTAACAATGTCTAGCGTTACAGCCTATTAATCACAGGGGATATTTGCCATAGTTGCCACGCTTGGCAACCGCAGTTTCTTATTTTTAGTCGTTTTTAGGAAGACGCTGCTGCCCATCTAATTTGTTTCCCTTTAACCCATTCAAGGCGGCTCAAAAAATCGTCCTTATTACGTAGGCGCGGGCGGTTTAAAGTACTAACGCCGATAGGCATATTTAAATACTTTGACACCGATCGGCGTTTTCCGCACAAGAAAATTATTTCTTCCTTATTTAGACAATTTTACTGATGCTCATCAGTCTACGCCATGTGCAAGTGACTGCGTGCTCAGTGGCTAAGTTGCATTTGTAAATAATAAGTTATTTTGTGATTAACAGTGAAGTTTTATTAAAATACTAGCGATTTCCTATTTACCATAAATATGGCTGGAAATAGTAAGTGAATTTTTGTTTCTATTCTATTCCATTCAGTATAGTAAGGGATATTTTCCACATTATGGAAAGATTTCTAAGTACACTTTGAGTAACGAAATTGGTTTTAATATTAATATTATCAGTATTATTGAAATATGACCAGCGATTGCAAACCTTTTTTCTGATTTTTAAAAGGTAAAATACTTTTAATTATAGTATTTAGTCTACTATTTTAAATGTATTAAGTATATTAAGTAGTATTTTCAATTAGTAGTTTTAAGGAAGAGAGGAGTTTTCAGTTACATACTATTTCTAGTGCACCGTAATTTGTTTCAGTTCATAATGGGGCTCGATCATCGTCACCGAGTTTATTGAGTAACCGTGTGAGACAACTTGGTTCGCGAAAAAGAAAGCCATGTGATGATGAAGATGATAATGTCGATGCGAAAAAAGACATCTAGACAAAATAAAGAGACAGGTATCGTCACAGGACATTCTGGATGCAAATTTATATAAACGCAACATTTTCGATTCTAATGGGCATAAATGTGATGTATCACAATCACCCGAATTAAATTTTGAAAACGGGGAACCGACACCACCGAAACAAAGCGTTTGCTCAACTGATCGCTTACGAATTGGATCTCGTTCCATTGGAAAAAAGATCTGTAACGTATGTTAATATAAGTCTTGTGAGGATAGTACGTCACCAAAAGGATGTGGACGACATAAGTTTACCCAGCTATGAAGACTCGGAATAATGTTTGTGGCGTAGGTTCGCTGTGAGCCTACGTGTTGTTTGATTGTTGATATTATTAAATAAGTATTATGAACACTTACGTAGTTGTAGTTTTGTTTATCTTACCTATATGAACGGTTATGAATTTATTTTTGTCATAACTTCCTATTGTTCCCTGGCAAACTCGCGTCGAAGCTCGCCTCATAGCATGTGCTGCGAGGCACCTTCAGCCTTGAGTTGTGGCATGGGTCCTTTAAAAGATCAAGATAGTATGAACTGTAACTGTTTTTCAATTCCATAAAATAGCTAAAATAAATATTTAATCAAAATGTTTTTAATGTTCTCCGGAAGACGCCGTTTGGCGTTTCCCCCGGCTGAGGATAGCTTTGACTTAGCGGCCATCCTTCGCAAAGTAACGCCTGATTCTATTAATTATTGTTTCCCTTTGTCACCTCTTACGACACCCACAGGATGATATGGGGCAGTGGATATTCTTTGTCTGCCACTATAAGGTAAAACAATGTCTTTGGACCAAAATAATTCATCTGATGTTCTTCGAGCTATATGGCCGGCCCACTGCCACTTCAGCTTACTAATCCGTTGGGCTATATCGGTTACTCTAGTTCTACTGCGGATATCCTCATTTCTAAGTTTATCACGCAGAGAAACCCCGAGCATAGCCCTCTCCATAGCTCGCTGAGCGACTTTGAGTTTCCTCATACGGCCAGCAGTGAAGGACCACGTCTCAGATCCGTAAATCATCACTGGCAACACGCACTGGTTGTACAATTTCGTTTTAAGGTTTTGAGGTATGTCTGACGAGAAGATGTTTCGTAGTTTCCCGAACGCTACCCCGCCGAGTTGAATCCGTCAATTGACCTCTTGGTCGAAGTTGGACTTACCTAGTCGGACTATTTGTCCCAGATAAACATACTCGTCAACAACTTCGAGCTTAGTGCTCCCAATAACTACCAGCATAGGTGTGACATGGACATTAAACATGATCTTTGTTTTATCCATGTTCATCTTAAGACCTATCCGTTGGGAGACACTATTGACATCTTTGAGCATGGTGCTTAGGTCCTCCAGCGATTCTGCCATAAGAACTATATTGTCGGCGAATCGAAGGTGAGTGATGTACTCGCCATTGATGTTAATACCGTATCCTTTCCAGTCCAGAAGCTTGAAAACGTCTTCCAATGCAGCGGTGAGGAGTTTCGGGGATATAACGTCACCCTGTCTTACACCTCTGCAATTGGATAGGTTTCGTACTCGGATAGCCATCGTAGCCCTACTATATAAGCACTTCAGCACTTCGATACACCGACAGTCAACTTGGCACCGCTGAAGGGACTGCAGCACCGCCCAAATTTCGACGGAATCAAAGGCTTTCTCATAGTCCACATACGCCAGACATAGTGGCAAATTGTACTCCTCGGACTTCGGTACAACTTGCCGAAGGGTATGTATGTGGTCTATGGTGCTAAAGCCCTTTCGAAAACCGGCTTGTTCGGGAGGCTGGAATTCGTCCAGTCTGCGCGTGAGACGATTCGTAATGACTCTAAAACAGCACGTATACGCGGCTCAGAAGGGAAATCGGTCTGTAGTTCTTCAAGAGGGCGTTGTCACCTTTCTTGAAAAAGAAGACCACCGCACTTCTGCTCTACGCCTCCGGTGTAATGCCACCATGGAGGATGGAATTAAAGAGCTTCTGAAGGACTTCAAGTACCGGTTTTCCACCCGCTTTCAGAAGCTCCGCTGTAATTCCATCCTCGCCTGGTGCCTTGCCGTTTTTAAGATGCTGGAGAGCTATTCTAATCTCGCTCAGACAGACGTCCTGAATATCTTCGGAATAGTGTCGGATAAGACTCGCTCTTGGATCGTTACTCACACTTGCGTGTGACTCCCACGATGACGTGTACAGCTGCCCATAGAACCTCTCAAT